TTTTTAAAAAAACAGAATCCTTGGCAAAAAGGCAAATTTGTTAGGCTTCCAATGTAGTTGGAAGCTCAGAAAGTGTGTCAGCACCATTCTGAGGCTGAATCTAAAACCATCCTTCTATCTGCTGCAAATTAAGATGCCTGATGGCCCTGGAGCATGCAACTTTGAAGCTCTGTAGGCTTGGCTTAAACTGATTCTCCAAGAGCTCTTTGTTGCCTATCTTTGCACAAAGGCTTATGTAAGGAGTGATGTTGGTTTACTCAACAGCTCAAGAACCTTAATATTTCAACTTCTTTTACCCTCACTTATTTGAAAGCATCTCCAACTTCCTAGGTCATATGAAATTAGTAAACTTCATTCTTCCATTAATATCTATTGGTCCTATTTTTTTTTTTTTTTCTCTCCAGTAATGAGTTTCAGTACAGTCAGTTTTAGTGATAAATGGCGACGTGAGAAGAATGGGAATGGGACAGTTTGCAGGAAGTTGAAGATAGTATAGAAAAATACATTTTGTGAAGTGAGGAAAAGCTGTGCAGAGGCAGATTCTGAAGTTATAAGTCTATGAATATTATTTAAGTGCAAACAAAAATACATTAATGTTAGGAATCTCTAAAGAAAAAATTAAAAACAAAAACATTGTCAGTCCCTTTTAAAATGTTTAGCATTCCTACTTCTTGAATACTGTGCCACATTTTAAAAGGATACAAAACAAAGGAATGTTTACAGTGAATAGCTGAGATAAAAGACCCGGAAAAGATTCTGCATGGAACATGGTCAAGTCTGCTAGGATTCTGAAAAATAAGCAGAGAAGAGCAAAATAATCAAAGTCTATACAAAAATGTTATATAGAAAAAAATCAGGAATTGACCAGCTTTTGCTGTTTCTCCCTATAAAAGCTTTAGGTAGTTTGAACAGAATGTATCAGAATGCTAGAAGAAACATTATTTCTGAAAACATGTAGGTTTTTTGGGGAAAGCAATCCAGTAAGAGTTGATAAAAGTAAATCCACTTTTCATTCATATATTCATCTAGGCTCAAAATATTCAAAGACTGGACAAATACCTAGTTAGGGGAAGAAGCCTAGGTAGTTGATCTGCTCTAGATCTTTGGTGTGTTTGAGTTATCATGGTTAGAATGAGAATACTGATAAAACAGATACTTGAGTAAACTTGCACCAAATACTATACAGATACAAGCTGTTAGAATGAAAAACTACCAACTGCTCAAAACTGCTCAACAATAAAATCCCAAAGAAGTCCTAATTTTAATAGTGAAGACTAATTCAATATACTGTTATGCTTGTGTTCTTTTCCTATATCCCTTCCTACATAACCACTCTGCGCTACTACAGGAGAAGGATACAGAATACTGATCTTAAGAAATGATGCCAGAAGCAAGAGACCAGAAATATTAACAACATAATAAATTTTAGGTGGAGAAAGGACTCCTAGTGAACTGAAAAAGGAGACAGCATGTTGATATTAGAATAAAAAGGAAAGCGCTAATACATAACCAACACTGAGATATATGGAGGTGTACCTTTTTGATTTTGAATTTCTACATCAATTTTCAACTTAAAAAGAAGTGTTGACAAAATGCAAATGGAGGGCATATCCCACGAGAAGTGAATGATGTTCAAGACAGAACTCTCAAATATTTAACATTGCTGATGATGGAGTCACGAGAACATAATTAACCCTTTCCTAATTGGATTGCTGTCTGCATACTGAGTGAGATCATAGAGTCACAGAACAGCTTGGGTTGAAGGAAACTGGGAAGTTTTAATGTTACTGGTACCAGTTGGTTAAATAAGGTATTTCCTTAGGTGTTTGGTTTTTTTTGTTTGTTTGTTTTGGTTTTTTTTTTTTTTTAATGTATATATATATTTACCTTCATACACCCCTCAAAATCTCTCCTTTAATTCAAGCAATATAGAAAGATTTGTTGAGTCAATGGAGATGTTTTCTAATAATGGGGTAAAATAATAGACAAGTGGTTTTGGAGCTTGAAAAAAAAAAAAAGCAAACAAACATCTGGTGGAACACTGCCAGACAGTGCACTATTCATTATTGCAATGCAAACAAAATATCTGAGTAATATTAGTATTCCACCTTACCCAACCCTAGAATTGATGGAAACAATTTATTTTCCTATTCCTAAATGGTTTATACCCTATCGTTGCTACACCGTAAAATAAGACAAATAAAAAACAGTGGATTTCTTTCCCCACACAACATGTTTCAAAGATAACCTTCATGTGACTAGAGAATTCAAAGAACAGAAATTTTTGAGAGTGCTATAGAGATGTATATTTGAACAAACTTAACATATTTGTGCATGGTGAACACATAAATTCTTCTTCCTATTCCTATGCTTTCTGGATTAAGTTTCTGCCTCTTAAATGACACTGAACAGCTGTCAAAAATGTTTTTGTTGATTGTTGTTTAAGTATTTTCTTGGACAAAGTTAAATGCCCACAGGGAAATAAGTGCTTGAATTCAGTTTGAATTCTCAGTGCTTGAATTATTGATTTTATGATTGTATCTGTAAAATTTTAAGGGTCATGTTAATTGATACTGCAACTTCTTTTGCTTTAAATACTATTTCTTTGTTTTTATCCCGAGATTCAGTGCAGAGGAATATTATGCAAACTGTCAACAGCTCAAATTCCAGGGCAGAACACCGAAGTTGAACAAAATCTAAAGGTAGATAGATCAGCCATTCCCTCAAAATTGCTTCCTTTTTCTTGTTTTCTAATATTTATTTTTCCATATGCCATAACATGACCTTCTCAAAAAAAAAACAAGATGAACCTTAACACAGCTTTGTTACTAGTTCCACAAATTTGACAAGATGGGGGCTAAGATCCCATTTGAAATGGTATATAGCTTGATGTATCTCACACTCTTACAGAGTAGTAGTGAGTTTACTGTGAATGGTAATTTAGGATGATTTTAAATTTCAGGCCTCTTTCAATATTACATGTGAAGCAAAAACAAAATTGCTCATTAATTCAGCTTTCCCTCTAAATAAAGCTGAATCAAGATCATTAAGCAGTGTCAAAGAGAAATAGACTGCTGGTCACATGTATTTTCAGAGCACACAAAGTATTTCTTTTTTACTTGCAAAAATGAAATTCTCAGAACTACAGCTGGATTATCAACTGAATTTGTTTTTCCTGCAGTAAAAAGACAGCAAACATCTCTTTCAAGTTCTCTGTCCTGCTTTGCGAATCAACCAGGTACATGTAGTTATATTTCATATGCAGTTTGAAAGCATTTCCATGTGTGTGCAAAGAAGCAGCTATTCTGAGTTTGCCTTTAATGGCGATAAAGAGCAATATTTGATAATAATTTGCAAGTAGAAAATTCTGGAGCATGCTAGTTTCTTATTTAGGAAATGTAAAACCACATAAGTTTAGAAAATATACTTTAAATGTAGAAATGAATAGATTAATAGTGCAGACAAACAGAATGCCAGAGATAAAATAAACAAAAACATCAGTTTCCAGTTGTCCGAAAAGGAACTTCTACTTCTCAAAATTTTTGATTTTTCTACTAAGCTGTTGCTTGTTCATTTCTGCTTTTATTTACTGCTATTTATGTAATACATAGAAATATTTTATGATAGCACTGCAAGGGCACCACACAACATTTGGAGTCACTCAGCATTAGTCTTATTCTGATGACAGAGAATTCAATGAAGAGCAAAGATGATTCAATGATAAGCACCTCTCTCCTATTCAACACAGATCTAGACGTAAACAGAAGATAATTCACACTAAAAAGCCTCATAGTTAAATTTCACTGAATTGTTAATCTTCTATTCTTAAGAGTTTAAAATATTTTTTAGTCCTATGTTGCAAAATACCCTGGATATTTTTGTGCGCTGAGAGCTTACTTACACAGGTTTCTCTCCTTCTCTTTCTAGAGGAGCTGTTCATTGTTGTTCAAAGCAAGAAGGTGACTTTAAGGTTCATTATCTAATTGATCAAACAACCTGCTAATTAAATGTAACTGGGTCTAATCAAAGTGGAGACAATGCAGAAGCGCTGAAACTGTCAGGTAGGTGCATGATACTCAAGCCATTAAAGCAACTAGAGATCAGTATGTTCCTTAATTACATTAAAGCTAAGATTTTCAAACAAGCCAAACAGAGGGAATTAGCTATATGCTTTATATTGCCCTGCATATCTAAGATCGTGGTTTCAGGATGCCTGCATCTTAGCAATAAGCTCTGTTTTATATGACTGCTCTTACCAAGCTTGCTCATCTCCTACAGCCTTCACTCAATGCAAAGTCTGGGTGGAATTATTTAAGTGAACAGTCTTATTCATGGTTCCATTACTAAAGCAAAACATAAAAAACTGGAATATCTCATGTTCAGTTAAAAAAAACAATCTTTTTTCCATTGTTTAAAAAGTAACAACCTGCAATAATATATATGCAAAACTGCTGTACCACTCTTAATTCTTTGAATAGTAGCATTTTTTTCATTAACACATATACCTATTCTGAAAATACAAATAAGCAGTTGATGCCTCATTCTTGGATGCACTCAAGACCAGGGTGGATGGAGTTATGGGCAACCTGGTCTAATGAAAGGTGGCTGTGCCCATGGTAGGGGGGGGTTGAAACTACACGATATTTGAGGTCTCTTTTAACCCAAACAATTCTATGATTTCTACAAATTAAACCATTTGCTAATGTAAATCCATGAGGCTGTAAGGTATTAAACTGGACAGAAGTGGAGGGATATTATTTAGATTCAGTCAAAAGACCCTGGATTAAAAAAAAAAAAAAACAAAACAACAAACTGCTTTACTGCACAAGTTGGGCAGAGTAAAAAAAATAAACAAGGAATCAAAAGGGCAGGTAAAATAGGCGACAACAGCAATGTTAGGTCAAGCAATAATACTCATTCTATAAAGTTTGAATCAGCTTTAAGTGGACTTTGTTCATTACAAGACGATTTTTGCAGTGCTGACAATCTCAAGAGCTTACTATAAAGAAGTCTGAGACGACAGTCTCTTTTCCTCTTACTTCAGTTTGGAGTTTCCATATGCCTAGAAGTTTTTAGAGTTGCATTTTGCATCTTGCCCTCCAGAAACTCTGCAAGAGAAATATATTTAAATACTTGAATCCAATGTAAATACGTTATTTACTTCTTACTTCATGTACAGTAAGAAAATTTTTAAAAAGAGGCATTATGTACAAAAGGGTGAGAGCTTGCAATGGTGAAACCTAACCTGTTTTAATGAAGCCAACAGTTTGCCAAAGAAAGTTATCGGTCACAAAAATTAAAAAGGACTATTTGACTTCAGCTATTCTTTCAAAAGCATGCAGGAAATAAATGAGGCAGGAACAGATGACTTATCTTTCTCTCGCACTTTATGCCTTTGTCAGAACATCACCTTCCTTCCTGTCATGAAAGGAGACATCAGATAGCCCTAAAATTCCACATTTATTAGATCTTGTCAGCAATCAAATGAATGCAGGTATTTATTGCATCAGTGTGGCAAAGATCTAGCCGTTTTTCCTCTGTATATAATCAGAAGGAGTAAAAAAAACAACAGGAGCAAAGCAGCATCCCTACACTCTTTTACTGATATGTTGGCACTGCACAAAAACTTTAACAATCATATTTTAAAACATATCTAGAACATTAAGAAGGAAAAATATAATAGGATTTTCCAGAGGATGGAAACAACATACTGCATCTTGGAAAACAGGTTATTAGATGTTATTTTGAAAAGAGGCATTGCCTGCCCTGTTTCTAGCCAAAGGGGAATCAGAGCACGGAAGGGTGACATGCTGCAGAAGCTACTGGAGAGAAGAATTCAGATCTCAGAGTTCCAGATCAATGTATTTCCTCCACAACAGATGCATTATCAACTAAAGGAGTAGAGACATCCAGATCAGTGAGTAATTGCTTGTCTTAATCCAACAATCTGCGTTTTACATTTCTTCACAGTACTAACAAACAGTGCAAGATGCCCAGCCAAATAAGAATGCTGTTTTATCTTCTTTTGAAAAATAAATGATCCTTGCATGATTTGCAGTTACTGTATTAATTATGAAAACATCTACTTACTTAGGACTTTTTAAAGCCAAAGAGTACAACCATTTAAACATTGATTGAATTTCAGCGCCTGAGTGAACTGCCCCCAAGGAATCCCAGCCACCAAATCACTTGAAAATGCCCATGTAAAGTAGCAAGTATCACACAAACACTGACAGCAAATTCCGTGATTTCTGTGTCGCTCTGCATTGTTATCTGCTGCTTATTTAGAGATGAAGTTCATTCTTCCTTAATTCCATATAGGCTAGTGAGATGATACAAATGTCTTTGCTTAAGTAGCACTGACTCCATTAATACTTAACTACAGAGAATAATAAAAATAGAGCAAAAAGTCTCAGGAATTAAACTACTACTTGCACAGCATTTCCTCATGCTATTTTTTAAATACTTATTATCTCTTTGACTATACTTTCCCATTAACAAAAAATCTCTTGTACAATAATTGTTTAATGTAGTGCTGCTGGAAAAAAAAGAAATGTAGAAGACCAAGGGCTCTCTGTCCCTATGGACTAACATTTTTCATTGCCACAAAAGTAACCAGGGTCAAAATTTTGAAAATCAGATGCCTATGTCTAGGCTGTCAGTGGCTTCCTTTACAGCTGACTTTATATCACCATTTCCATAAATCAGTGCCTCCCTTGCAGATGTTATATTAAATAAAACCTCTCTTATTTTTTTTCCCCAATGTTTGCTTCCCAAATAACAAGAAACTGAGAAAAAAACCTCAAAAGTAAGCTTTTATATAAAACGGAAATATTAAATGCATTATTTCCACAAAGGTAATAATAGCATGTGAAAAAGTCAAAACCAAAGAGCTAGATTCCTACTATAAGCCTGCTCTACACTTCTACAAGGAGCTGTTTTAGAAGAGAAAACTCTACAGGTAAAGAATAAAAGTGCGGTTAGATTCTTTTTTCCCCCCTCATATCTTATAAAATGTTTATTACATTTTAGACCTTGTGACTTCATAATGAAATTATTTTGATCAGGGCAGAAATGTATCTGATTTATGATACATTTGATAAATGATTACTTGAAAAATTATTGAAACACTTCAAATTAAATATAAATATAGAAAAAATGATGCATTTATATATTTTTCCATTTCCAACCTTTCATCCTTACAACCTTCGCAGAAGATTAGGAAGCAGTCTCTAATTATAACAAAATGCATAGAGTATTTTATATAACTTTGTACTGCAAGGCTTTCATTATAACAGGGTTAAAGAATTTAACTCTCAGTGGAGTAGTAAAGATTTAGTTAAAGTCTGCGAGCACTGTGTTTTCAATATCTGTAAAGGAGCATAAGAGATGTGCAGAGTAATTCTTACTACAGTATTACAAATGTTATTTGCTGAAAGTCTATTAGTACTTTCACAATTTTATTTCCTAAACTCAAATAATTCTAATGTTGTTTGAAGACATATTACAAACCTCTTGCCTCTTCTATTCTTTTAGTTTCATAGCCTCACAGCATCTGGGCTATCTATATTTGTTAAGAGAAGTAAATGTTCTTCCTCTGTTCTGGAGCAATCTTTTCTTGCCTGACAAATAGAAATGATAGAACAACATTTGGGCATAGAACTACAGCCCCCGTTGGCTGCCCCTCCTATAGGCTAATATTTCAGCCTTAATGATGTTAGTCATCTTATATTAAATATAATGGTGCTAGACAAATTGTGAATGATGACAATAACTTATGTAATTTTCTGAAAAGCCACTTCAGCTGTTAAATTGTCCTACTTCTTAATTCTTGTGCTGTTGGTAATGGAATCACTTGAAATTATGGCAAGCTAAAAGCATAAATAAGCTATAAATAAAATGGAGCATTTTGCTATAACACAAGGAGAATGCCATGCCTGAGTCCTGGTCTTACAAGTACTTAATGAAGTCATTTTTTACTTATATGTGAGTTTTATTTGCATTTCAAGGCTAGACTCTTGTTAATGCACAAAGCTGAAGTGGATTTTAGTATGGGAATGAAACTGATTTACTAATTATTCTTTACTTACAATATTTAAGTAACCTATGATAGTCATCAGAATAGGAACGATGACTTCAACTTCAGGAACCTGCTGAAATTCAGATTCCATCAGTTTAGAAACTCTACTTACAATTATGGCTGGATTCAACCAACTGTTCTTTAGTGTTTTCTATCACAGCTGTATTCTGCATTCTTGAAATGTTTTCCACAGACTTAGCTATGTTTGAGGCTATGACAAACACATAGAATTCGTATGGTATTTTTTTCCCCTTTAGTAAAAAGCATGAACTAAAAAAGCAATCTTGGGATTTAAATGTTTCATGGTACAAAAAAAAGTATTTATAAGCAATCCTCCTTATGTTTGGCTCACTTAAGACTCTGACTCAGGAAATATGCCTAGACTACAAAAATCTTATTTTCACTCCTTGCTTCCAAACTGCAGACAAGGTCAAAGAAAAATAATCTACAGTTTTCAAGAGGGTTATTTTATAATTAAGAATTGAAGTGGTTCATATGCAAGTCAATATTATATATTTTTATATCATTTTGGATACATGTATACACAAAAATTATAATTTCATAGAAGAACAGAGAAATGAACTAACATAGGCATGACATGACATGAAGTACCATGTGTGAAAAATAAAAAAGGAACTCCATAACTCCTTACAATTTGGGTCTTAAATCCAGGAAATTAAATGAATTTAAATCTCTAACTATTACATAACTTTCCAAATGAGCACTGCAAAGGAAGTTTTTTTTTTCCTAAGCATTAATTAATGAATTCATTAATTCATAATCAATAACCCAGTGAAATAAGTATGTGGCATTAATTTTAAAGACAAACATAAGCACAGACAGCTTTACTGGCATATTCAAGAGTGCATAACATCAAAAAAAAGGTGAAAAAAATTAAAAAAACAAACACAGCCATCTTAGTTTTCTTAGAAGCTGAGAGGAGGAACTTAAACTCTTTTGTCAAGAACGTCTTTGCGGGAAAAAAAAAAAAAGAGAAATTTCAACCATGACACAAAACTGCAGTACAGAATCAAAATTCGGTAAGGAGCAAAGAGTAGATCAAGTCTGGAAAAAAACAGGGAAGTAAATAACACATTTTATCTGTAAAGTGCGATTTAGTTATTAGACAGAAGTCTAATGTGAACTTGAGATGGCAGAGAAATTACATGCAATATTGGGATTTTGATAGAGGACATTTGCTAGTCGTCCACCTGATCAGAAGAGGCAGAATGAAGAAACAATAGCTGAAATGGAAAGCAGGCAGATAAAAAGATGAAACGGGGCAATCAATGGGAAATTTCAACAGCTGCTTGAACAAGTGCTGGAATCCATTAAATTAAATTGCAAAATGTCACCAGTTCAGCAACCAGTCACAGTTGCAGTTTACAGTAGTGTGGCACAGTGGAGAGGTCATGTTTCATTAGGATTAGCCCTGTTTCCTTTTAACACAGTTCCCTGAATATCATGCAAGAAGTGATAATGTTCCGATTTTTAAAAAATTGACAAGTTCCTTGTATGCACCACTCATTTTATATACTCATTTACACCATATATTTCTGCTGTAACAATACTTGCAGCAAATACTTTCATCTACACTGTATATATCAATATATATAAAGCAAACCGTTAAAATTTTAAAATTCCAAAAGTCTAAATCTAGATTATCATAGGTCTCTTTAAGAAACAGTATAGATGCTTATCTTGTTTTCTTGCACTTGTAGTCTTTCCCATTAGAATCCAGTTCTAGATGTGTAAGATATTGTTCTGTAAAACATCATCGTCTCAAAGCTTGCTGGGGATGCAGATGAACAAGTCCAGGCAAGTCCTGGGCAGATGTTGAGAGATCCTTTCTCTGGAGAACTTTGATGGATAAGTCCTGGGCAAGGATTGTGAAATCCTTTGTCTGAAGGACACAGGTGGACAAGGCCAGGGGCAACGAGAGAAACAGAATCTGCAGCAGAATCTGATGGATCCTGGTGGTGACTATCCCCGCTTTATGCAACTCTTGCTCCTTTCCTATCTTCTCTA